TAAGCAAACACAACTAAACAAGCACACACACCCAAACACGCACACACACGCACGCACACACGCAAGCACTCACTCACAGTCGCTCGAGTAGTAGTGCTATGGTGCAGCAACCCGGCAGAGCATGCGAGTTAAGCAATTGATTTGATAACACTCGACCCCGACTTGATAACCAACCGACCAACGGGTCGACCTGCAACACTTTGCTGTTCTCTGCCTCTTGCTCTCTCTCTCTCTCTCTCTCCCTTGCTCTCGCTATCTTTCTCTCTCTCTCTCTCGAGCCCTTACTCGAACCTTGTATAGCACCTCACACTCTCCCTCTATCTCGCGCGTGCGCACTCCCTCTCTCGCTCTTTCTGAATTGTCTCGACTGGCCTGCCGCCTGTTCGTTCGTCTGACAGCCGACAAGTTCTCTCGTTCTCAGACTCAATTCCTCTCGGCTTCACTTAGTCTCCGAGTCCCGCTCGGCGGTGCAGAGGGTGGCTTAACCGGCAGCGGCGTAAGTGACTTGACACGGGCTTATCACTTGTCCGCAGGGGGCTGCCTGAAAGGGATCAGTTGTGGCATGTGGAAGGGGAGAAGAGTGGCATCATGTTGCGTGAATGTGATAGGCATAAGGCAAGGTACCAATTCTGGTTAGGCATAATTACAGTTTTAACACTCACCTTATTTTAATGTTCTCGTCAGTTCAGTGGTAATGATCTGAAGAAATAGGCAAGTATCATGGCAATCGATATGGCAGTAGGTTTAAATTTGAAGATCAGCTGTTTTTCGTTTTGTTCCGTTCCGGCTGAGAGGCATAATCAAGTGCTATTTTCAGAAAACGGCCGTTTTGTTTGTCTTCTGATATCCGGCTCTTGGACCGTCCGAACTTCGACAAACTGGTAGACGACGATTTCGTTTAGAGACGTTGAGTACCGCAACACAGGATCAGGTGGGTCGGGTAGATTGATGCTCAACTTATTGGCCGGTTGGTACGTCAGAGGGTATAGTTGAGGCAAGTTTCACTCTACCTTGGGCCCTTAAAGGGGCCGGGATTCGGTCGGGCCGACGAAAAGAGGACGCTGAGTTGGCATAAGGCAACGAGGAGGATAGCAGTACTCGAGCACTGGTCACGAGTACATTCGAACAGTTGAATTGGAAAACGGGGTTGTAGAAACTGCATAACGAATCTTAAGAGAATACACACAGATTTACTAGGCTTAAAGATTATCGGTAGACCTTTTGTAAAAACTAAAAGCACCTTAAGTCGGAATCTCTGCGCTGCAGTATCGTCAAGGTTAATGGCGAATACGCGTCTGAGCCAACAGTAGAATGTGAATAAGAATTTA